GAGGCTGGGAAGGGATGTGAAGGGTAAACAAAGGAGGAGGCTGCAATGCTTGGTAAGAAATGTATGCATTATCCTGCCAATGTAATTGTAACCCCCTGTACAGTATGTTCACAAAATTAAATTAAATTAAAAAAAATTTGGTACAGTGTGTGGCACATACATGAAAAGATCAGTTTATCTTGAAGAGAAACTAACAAATAAATGAGCTTATTAACTAGGTTCAATGTTTATGAAACTAGTGACTACTTAATAATTAACTTTTATTACTTTTAGTCGCCTAAAAAAAGTGACACGGTTTACCTCATGTCATCCTTAGCACTAGACGCCAATCCGGTCCGGAGACTAGCCCCAACCCGCGAAAGGCCCTGTCCACGCCTATGGATAACGTCATGACATCCTAGCAAGTCCCGCCCACATACCATTTCCGCTTCACTAATATCTACATATTGGTTGCTTATTGGCTACTAGCACATACTCGCTTTTCTCATTGGCTACCATCCGGAAAGTTCCGCGGAGAATGGTTCCCGCGATGTTAGGTTCAGAGTCACTGGTACTTCCACTTCCGCTTCCTGTTTGAGTCGGAAGCCATGGCGGCCGCTCGGGACCTAAGGTTCCTGTTATCGGGCAGGTGGTGCCGTACCCTTCGACTAGCTCCCCAATCCCGGGTAAATGCATACTTCTGTTATGGGACAGTCCCCTTTCTGTTAACAAGCTCTTGCAACTTTCCTTTTTGCCTTGCAATCAGCATTTCTTTCCCGGCCTCAGGCTCTCGCCGTCCTGGCACCTGGAGTGACCCAGATAGATAACAAGTCTGATTTTCTGGGGAAGAAGCCCCATCGTAAACATCCTGGCATCCTGCGCCTTCCGCACCTGCGGCTGCCACAGACACTGGCTAACGCCGCGCAGCTGCAGCTGCTTGGTGAGTTACTGCGAGCCAGCGAGTTCAGAAAGGAAACAAAACAAGGTCCTTACGCGGTTATTCAGCTTTTTATCTTTGGCCCGTAGAGAACCCAATGCCTAATATGGAGAAGCGGGTGCAAGCACTGACTAATTATCTCTGGAGCCGACAGTTGCCTGTAGAACCAGAGGAGTTACAAAAAAGAGCTATGGATCTTGAGAAAAAATTCCTGGAAAATTCAGGTAGGATTTAAGAACAACTAAGGAAAAGGCCAGATCCAAATATCCGTAGGAAACAAAGAACAAGGAGTAATTTCAGTCTCCTGAGTGGACTCTGCAGTTTGTTATTTGACAATCATGTTTTATCTTCTTAGTTTTTGTTTTTGTTTTTCCAGGAAGGCTTCTAAACTAGGACCTTATGTGTTTTTATTAGATGAAATAAAAGTTCCTGGATGGATCCCTGTCCAGTTCTGAGTTTTCCTGTTCTCTTAAGGATAGAAAAATGAGTGTAATTTATCTATTTATTTTCACAACTGGAAGTTCCTCCATGTGATAGACTACTTTTTTTTAAATTCATTTGTATACCCTGCCCCACTCCTAGTACCTGCCTCAGAGTAGGCTTTCAGTAGATTATTGCCAAACAGCATAGAGCCCAACACAATCATCAGACAGATTTTCAAGCTCTTTCTTCCCCATGGTAACATCTTAAGTCAAATTCTTAGTTTCAGGGAAGTGAGGAAATCTACAAAATAGTTATTTTCAATCTTACAACTTTAATATAAAACTTGTGGGACAGGGTTGATTAAGTTAAACTACTGTTAGAAGCGAGATACTGATATACTCTAGTTGTGGTGGTTGTTTTTTTGTTTCGTTTTTCTTGTGGTAATGGTGTTTGTGTTTGAACTTGAGCCTTTTTTGCTTGCTAGGCAGATGCTCTACTGCTTGAGTTCCAATCTTTTTTGCCCTGATTATTTTTGAGACCGGGCCTTACTTTTTGCCCAGGTCAGCCTAGACTTCAATCCTATTTTACACTTCCCACTGCAACCTTGATGACAGGCATGTGCTACCACCCCCCACTTTTCCTGTTGAGATGGGAATCTCATAAACTATTTTGCCCAGGGTAGCCAGAAACTACAGTCCTCCCATTCTCTACCATGATTACAGACATGGGCCTCCAGCACCCAGCCTATTATAGTACTGTCACCAAAAGTTTTTCTTTAGATCTGGCTTCTCTCTTGATCTATGAAACTTTCCTTAGGTAGCAATGGGGGAGATTGTATAAGCAATACCTTCAGTTATTGGAACCAATCCCTCTTCTCCCTAGGTTCTCACTTCCAGTCCTTGTTCTCACCCCAGACTCATTTCAGACAGAGGAGAAACTTCGTGAAGCAGTACTACATGTCCTGCGCAAAACTACCTACCACTGGCAAAATATAAGGTAAGGTAAGCTAGAAAAAGTGAAAAAGAAACATTGAATTTAGGAGGTAGGGAGAATGATAAGAGGGGGTGAGATTGGTTGTAATACAATATAAACCGGTAGAGCTGTAACAATATAACTTCCCTGTGTGTAACTGAATATAAGACAAAAAGAAAAGAAACATTGAATTTGAGACAGAGAGTTGGGAATATATTAGTTTGGTATTCTAGAAAGCTAGAACCTAGACCCTTTTATGTTGGAGAGTGAGAGGGCTGAGTTGAAAGAGCACTTTCCAAAAGTATTGTTCTCTGTAAGCTTAGAAAGTAACTATGAGATTAAGATTGTTAGTCAGCAGGTGTGATTTTCATGGCAGCTACAATGAAGAACTGAGCCTAATATATATGGCAGCAAGACTGGACGGTGGCTTTGCAGCAGTCTCCAGGGCATTCCATGAGGTAAAAGTCTCAAACTTCTTCCTGAGCATGTGTGTACTATGTGTGTTGAATTCAGGGCCTGGGCACTGTCCCTTAGCTTTGTCCGCTCAAGGCTAGTACCCTACTAACTGAGCCACACCTCTCTTATCCATTAGTCTCCTTGATAAGAATTCATGTGGTATATATATTGTTTTAAAAGGTTCCCTTTTCTTCTAAAAGGATTCTATGACCCCCCAAAAAAGGCTTAGAATCACCGTTTTAGAACCTTCCTACATGAAAAATATTGAATCTCAAAATTCATTCATATCTCTTCTCTGTTATCATCCCCCTAATTCATACTTAGCAAATTTCTGTCTCTGTCTTCTGTGGGCTGTTACATGTTTCTTCAGATCCATTCTCGAATTCCAGAGTTCAAACCACAAACTTTGATGGACTTTGGATCTGGTACCGGTTCTGTTACCTGGTGAGTAATTTTCCTCAGCATATTTTTGTCAAATTCATCTTTCTATCATTTCAGTATCAAGAAAACCAGAGGTAGAATAGGAAAGTTGGACCTACAGTGTTTCTTCCCTCAGAGTAGGCAAGGATTGGGGTCAGAATTTAAATGTCAACAATGGAATAGAATTGAAAACCCAGAAATGAACCTACAGACCTATAGCCATCTAATCTTCGATAAGGGAGCTAAAAAAATAGAATGGACAAAAGACAGCCTCTTCAGTACATGGTGCTGGCAAAATTGGTTAACTACTTGTAGAAAACTAAAGCTAGATCCTTATATATCACCCTGCACCAGAAT